ATGTCTTCTCTAATTCTGCTCTTGACTGAAGACATACAGAAATCAGCAAAACGACAAATTTGAGATCATTCAACCTCATATCCAGTTTCTGCCGTGTGTTCCCTTAATTTGGAAAATACTTCTAAGTGATGGAAGTCGAGTATCCGACCCAAGTTGTTTTGCTTCCATCAAACTGGAGAACGGGTACAGAGAGAAATGAATTGAAACTGTAATTAAACCATTGTTTCGTGGACTCTCATTTTCCATGAAGGTGCATAGCGAAGAGATTCTTTATTCAATCTCACTGGAAGACGACGGCCGATTCCTGCTTTTCTGCAGCAGTATTTGGCATCAATACGACATTCACATTGATGCCGTCCATGAGACATTCTCATTCGTTTCGACTGAAAACAGACTGAACTTTCGTCCATCATGTGAGTGAAATCATCAGAGCTGGAGCTTATTTTTTGTAAAAGTCAACAAGACTATGCTTAAAATGCCTCAGCGACTAGAAGAAGTTATCGGGAGCCAACTGAACAGTGGTAGCCTTATTGACTGACCGGGCCACAAAGACTTATTAAATTATCGCGACAAGAAACTCAGTATTTTTGTTTAAGCCATCATTTATAGAGAAATATGACACACACGCACACACACACACTAACATTTAGGAAAAAGTGACATTACCAATATGAAAGGGGATTGGCGAAATATTTCTATATAGTTGTATGTTTGTACATTTTCGTCTTTTGGTTATAAGTAAACATAAGACATTCTTTGTGACTTAGTGTTTGTGAACTTGAGCCTTTTACATGAATTAGTTCCAGCTTTGAGGATGCCCATGAAATGATGGACGAAAGCTCAGCCCATTTCCACCTGAAACTGTACTAACCGGAATGTCGTATTATAGCCGAACGGCTACAGGATAATGGGAATTGGCCATCATCTTATGATGATATCAACCAACGAATCTTTTAGCGAGGTTTTTTGACCTTGTTTTCGCAACTTGATCATATTGGTAGGAAGACTTAGAGGGACACGCCTAGTCCGGAGTCCATTGTATGCATGATCATCTCCAAAGTGGACGTGGACGTGGTACATTCCCAAACGTTTGGCCGGCATCGTCAGTGAATCTCGTCATTCTTAGCATCACACAACAACTCGTCAAAGAGACAAGTAAAGCCGGTCATTTGACAAACGTGTTCTAAACAGTTGTGGTCCTACCAATATGACCATGCAGCGAAAACAAGGTCAAACAACTTCTATACTATGAAAGGAGAATGCGACCATACAAAAGGCCATGCCATTTTGGTCTTCATACCTTTAACGAATCTTTTCTTCATCCACTTTTATACGAACTGAAAGTCTTCCCAACAATGTTATCTTAAAGCTTCATCATCTCACTTTTTTTCTAGAATTGCTTTAGAATTCGCAGCGAAGAGGGTCTGGGTAAAATTGAGCTCACTCGACGTGGGCTTCTTTCGATGAATTGAAAAGGGCAAATCAAGCTGACATTTGGACTCTTCCGCATCATATGCTTCAAAAGTGCCTCCTCAGCCAAGTCATGCCCAGTTCGAATCCCGCCACACGGGCCGTTTGAACATGTGGAAGAGACGAGCCGAGTCTACTCTTCACTCCATTAAGCAGGAAGTATCCTTCTGCAAAAGTCCAACTTGCTTATGAACATTCACATTCAAAAGTTTTTCCAGTAAATTAATTCCTTTCCACTTAATACGCATATCATTTTGGCATTGTTGAACCTACGATGTTTGCAGTCTCAATGAATTAGAACTTTGAAGTATCACAAAAGCTACTACTACTACTATACTACTAGTACTTGTGAACTTTCTCGAGGCATTCTTTCAGTC